GTGAGACGATTGTTTTTCAAGACACCAAGGTTGGGTTCCAGATGTAATGAATATATAGCATGCATGCAGCCGCTCAGTAAGAAAGCGAGAGAGACTGAGTAACTACTTTGTAAGCTACGGTTCTTGGCATGGTGACTCAGGACATTCACATTTACCCAGTATCGGAACAGAAACCTATAACTAGAGTTAGGGCGATTTATCTTGGAATAATAACATCCCTACAACCCCCTTTTACGACATTCAAGTCTTAAACTGATCAATTAAAAACGCCTAAAGCTATGGTGCTTGTCACAGTCTGTGATTTTGCTCGCTGGCTTGGATGCCTTTCTACATGAGGCTATTTTCGTAGCCATTTCAATGGTCTCAAATTTACCTCAAGTAGTTTTAAACAGCACTATCTTTTGTATCATTTAGAAACTGATTATTCTCTCACCAAAAGTTTCAACGGGTGACATGTAAAACATTTGCCACCCTTAAGGAAAATTAAATCGTGATGTAATACTGACTCCCTTACCAGCATCGCAAAACAACGCCACCGATTTACTTATGACTTTCCCGCAACAGTATTCTGCTGTCTAACAATTTTGAGCCTGTCATTGTTTTGCTTTCAGTTTTTTCGAAATACCAAAATTTCAATTGAGTCACGGGCGGCCCAAGCTCACGTCTCGAGAGAAAGCAAACGATTAATTCATGAAAGGATCATGTGTTGTGTGACTCGGTATTAAGTTTCGAGAGGAACCGTTGAGAATTTGAACACGCTGTAAGGATTAGTATGGGAAACGAAATATGGTCGATTTACAACGATAAATATTTCGAAATATGGACATCCTACAGAGAGAAAACATTCACTAAAGAGAAAATTAACCTCGTACCCAAGTCTCTTCCGCGGCCGTGTCTAGTCTGATTATCAAGAGCATAACCAGAGAGAAGCGAACTCGGAAATGCAAGTAGAAAACGCTCGTTTTCAGCGAAATGCACGGGGAGTTTTGGTATTGAGACATGTCCCAGGATGCAATGATCTTAGATCGTGAACTATGGCTGAGAAAAATGCCGATCGGGAGGATTTTTGGGGTGCAAACCACTTTCGCGTGGACAACGGTCGAAAATGGAGTGTGCAGCCTCGACTTCGTCTTTTTACTGGAATAACAGTGATGGAAAAGCAAGCTTAAAACGGCAGAAATCGCAAGAAACCACAACGAACACACAAGATGTGAGTAAGTTCTATTTATTTTACGTGTAGTATGCTCATATTTTGAAACATTTATTGTTGTAAATCGACCATATTTCGTTCCCCATACTATGCCTTACTGAACGTGTTCAAATTCTCAACGGTTCCTCTCGTAAATTACCACCGAGTCACACAACGCGTGACACTTTCATGAATTAATCGTTTGCTTTCTCTCGAGACGTGAGCTTGGGCTGCCTGTCGTTGAGTTGAATCTGATCAGAAGGGTTTTGTTTAGTTGGCACATTTACCGTGATCTCAAGTTTTGTGATCGTGAGTTTCGTGTCCGTGCCCGTGAACAGGCTTTATTTAAGGGACGGATGCAACCTTATCCGTGAGCTTTACATCGAAATCTGGATAAGACAAAAAAATAAAGGGTGAGGAGTAACTACATGACGTACTAAAAACATCAACTTTCAATTAAAACCGTCGTAACTACGTAAGAAATGAAGAAGAAAAAAACAACAACAACAATAAAAGCAAAGAAAAAGTTGGACGAACTTGTTCTTCAGTTCGAATGCCTCCTCAGTTTTTTTTATTTGAGAAGCGTTCCTTGCTCTGTGTTTCTAGAGTTATTTACTGATAAGTTTATTTAGGAGTAGTTTTAGCTTTACTGACTTTTATCTGTCCTATGTGACGTCGGTTAGAGAAGTTGTTATTGCGCGTGCCCATGTAACAGTATGTCCCGGGCTTCGTGATGCGGAAGCATGGCGGGTTGCAAGAGGCCGGGGCGTTGTTCAGTTGAGCCTGCAGTGTTTTGCCACCAGTGTAACAGCCCTTGTTAAGGTGAACATTTAACTTAGCGGCATCAAATTCGTCGACATGGTCAACTACTTCAAGAGGAAGGCTGGAACACGCTGCTGGTTTGAGAGATTGGCATCCTTCCTTTATCCAGCACACGTTGGTGCGATCAGTACCTGAAATGATGAAATGAAATGGAAAATTATTTAGGGCGGTATACTTATAAGATTTACTTCACTCAGCTGTGTTTTGCTAAAATTTTCAAGTTTGAGCTTTTTAAGTCCGTTGGGTGCCTAAATAATTCATATGTGCAGTATTTTTCTCACGTGCTGTTCCCTCTCCAGCATTGTTCTGATTGTTGTTTGAGCCTACCGATAGAAGAAAATAAATAGGTAAACAATTAGACACAATGAAAGAACGAAATGGAAATAACAGTTCGTATCAAATAGATTGTTCCTTCTCACCGGACCAGACGAAACATACCACATCCTCTGTTGTAACAGTAAGCCGTTCAGGATAAAAGCGATATTCCATGGCTGGATACGCTTGAACGATGTTTCCTCTCTTGCCCATTCCATTGATGTAGTAGATACTGCTATGCTGAAATTTCATGGGCAGTTTGCTGCGTGGTTTGAGGATGATCACATGACTTCTATCCTGGAATGTTCTGCCAAGCTGGGCAGTGTTCAAAGCGATTTGAAGAACGGTCGTTTTGTCAACAGCTTTAGTTTTCGGATTATTTTTAACCCTGTGAAGAAAAGAATATTCGATCTGTAAAGGCTATTTTCCCTCGTTGGTCTTTATGTCCAGTCGGCTCCTTCCGGTGGAGTGTAATTTTACCGAGGTCTTTACCAGTTTGAATCAAATCCCAGTGTTTTATGTTTCCTTTCCACTAAGTAGTTTTTCACTTATCCTAACGGATTTCATGTCGATGGAACTCAGAACTGAGAGCTATCAGATCAAAAATTACAAATTGAACGATTGTGAATTCAAGATCACGGTAGCAATGTGCTATTGTTGTAAAAAGGAGAAAATCGAGCCTTATTTTGTTGATAATAGAGAATAAATAGTGTTATTAGACGGTCGGGTTTACAAACATTTAGGAAACTAAGACATTTCACTTTAACTTTTGTTAACTTTGGTGATTCTACTAACGGTAAAATGGAATGACTTGGTAAAGAAGGCATAAACCCTTAATATCCTAACATCAGTATGCATGTTGTCCATGTACTGCTCACTACATATTTCCTGAGTTACTAACAAGGAGAATTTGTTTAACAGTCAAGAGCTTCTTAAGTTGGTGATCATTTCCATTATTCTTGTGACCTTAGTGTTTGATTAAAGGGTGTTATTGTAAGGAGAAATGAGAAGCTGGTCACTCTTAGGGGTAAAAGGATTACGTACTTACTTGTGATTGTTCCTAGCAGTAAACCCACGGGGCACATCTCTTGTGGTTATGTTGTACCTGCGAAGAAAAACATCAGTCTCATTTAAGCTTCAAAGCTGACTTAAGTTTTGAGTTAGGCACATTATGTCGGTTCTAGATAAACCCGTGAAGTGATGAATAAATGACTGCACGTATATGAAAATCATATGTGTGAACTGCGGATAAAGAAGTACTATTTCATAAAAACTAGAGCGAGTGTTTCATCAGGGTTTCCAAACACGAGAAAACTGATGAAAGCACGAGGCCGAAGGTCGAGTGCTTTTATTGTTTTCGAGTGTTTGGAAATCCTGATGAAACACGAAGCTCGAGTTTATGAATGGCTTCTCAAAAGGGCCTAATTTATTAACAATAAACACAAAAACAGAGAGACCACGTAAATAGTCGATTTTTGTTTTCTTTTGTTTCATTATCGCATGCGCATAGTTGTTAGTAAGGGTCATGAAGGGCGTTGAGTTTTTTCACAACTTCAGCTTTTTAATTAAAGCCAGTCACACTTTGCATTGGCGTCCTCATTTGCAATTTTGAGAAATGGAAGAAGCAGCCACGGAAAGGTCTTCTTGGTTTCGACCGCCGAAAAGTTGCAAAGAGCAAGTTTCTTTGCTCAAACGTTCAAAGTATAAAAGTACTCAGCACAAAGGGGTCACACAATTGGTTAATGTTAACCGCAAAGAATGGTTACTGTAATCCTGGAACTTAATAAACGTTTGTTCAAGTACTGCATTCTTTTGGAAATTGATTTCCAAACAAAAGTGTTTGGATATCCTAACACGTGTGTTTGGATACCTAATCACGCGTGATTGGATCTGTTCTTTACCGGGTATCAAGGGGCATCCATGTGACCCAAATGAGGCCACACAATTGGTTAATTACCTCATGCATTATCAATGAGTTTGAGAAGTGAATATGAAAGCGATCTACGCAGTAATGAACATTACTTAATAGGATTTGAGAATATTGGTGCTGAAAAATCATAAGGCCAAAACGGGTTACATGAAGGAATCTTGGGTTGAATGCGACCGTTTCTCCTTTCTGGTGAAAGAGAGGAAAATTTATCATTATGAAACCTACTGATATTTAAAGTCCCGCTTCTTGCTTTCAACGCCCCATCGCCTTTACTTCCATCGCACGCCTGGAGTCAAAGGATTATTAGTTGTCTCACCTGATTCGTAATACACAGCGTTGGGTGGTGTTTGTTGGAAAGCAAGGAACCTTCCACTTGTAGGACGAAAACTTTCCTTCCATGCTCATTCCGTTATGATTAACGACAGTGGATGGGGCGTAGATCACTTCCGGAGGCTTGTGAACAAGAACAAACTGCTCCTTTTGATCAGCTCCTTGAGAGATCTTGTGTGGTTCGTAAGGAATTCCTCTTGCCAGTTTCATTTCGCCCACATTATGACACGTGCTTAACACACCAGCAGTTTTTTCAACATAATTCGTAATGAATTTTGTCCAGGTTCCTCCAGCCGCCTTGCATTTCTCTGAGGTGATGTATTTTGCAACACATTTTTCTCCTTTAACGTTCGCGTTGTCCGGCGGACAGTCGTCATTTCCGGCAAGCTTGGTAGGCATTATACACAAGTCTAAAATATGAGATTTAGGGGAAATTTTGAAATGGATTTGCTCTTTTACCATTTTAGTGATAACAAAAGTCAGTCAGTGCTGTATAGCACTGTATTTATAAAACCGTTCAGATCAAACCTGACTTACATTTGTGTCCATAGTGAGGGCTGTTTACGTATTCTTTCATCAGTTGCTCGGTCTTTTTATCGCTGACCATGATAGCAATGTCCCTCCAAGGGGTAGGGCCCCAGTATGGATAGTAATCGCGTTCCTCAGGGACCTCCAAGCCCCTCCTTGTCCCTGCAGCATTCTGTCGCGTATAAATCGGTAGATCACCTTTAAGTTTTTGGTCAGCAGTGAACAAGCCTGGAGTATGAACAATAGTATCATTACTATAAAGAGAGTGACTCATCGAGATTCATTTTTTATCAGCCAGTTCGGTATTTCAGTTTGTTTTTACGAATTTTTACATTACGAATTGTATGATATTCAAATTCTTTGTTCACGTCGTTGGTTGCCATCTTGCCCTGTGGATAAGGCTGACACATGTACTGTAAAATAACTTGGGTTTCTACCATGTCATTGGTATCTGGTCCAGTTCCGTGTTGGTTTGTCCACATGATATCAACTTCGGTTTTTGCCTTAGCATCGCATCCACTCATGTAATATTCCTGATTGGATCATTTGAAAAAAATATCAAGCATAAGAAAAAGAAAGGCAAGAGAGCAAACAAAAAGACAACTGCTAACAAATGATAAACGAGTTTTACCTGTGGCAGCTGTCTGAACTCTCGAATATTGTCTCCGGGGTTGCTATCCAAACTGTCGCCGACATTGTAACCAGCCTTGCCGTTATTCTTAGAAAGAAGACGAAGGAATCATTTATGAACTGAATTGCTTTTGTCCTCTATTTTTATGTAATTAAATCTCTCCTCGGACTGGGTTCACCTTTCTGTCTAAATAAAATAACCACGAGGTTAAAACATCTGAAAAAGTTCATTGAGCTATTTCGATTTCCCTCTTCTATTAGATATTTTAGTTTTGTTTGTTCTAAAAATGTCATTTTTTTTCTCTGTTACCTTACAGCCTATCATCGATGTTATACAAGTAATTTCCAAGTTTTCTAGGCTGGTCATTATTCTGTTTTACTTTCTAGCAGCAGTAGCACTATCGGCCTTTTTTCTACTCTGAATATCATGGTAGATGCTGACCGACCCTTTTTTCAGGAAAGACAAACCAAAAATTTAATAAAGATACCCTTTCCAGAAATATTAACGCTCTGTCTAAAAACAGATGAAGATTAATTTATACGATAAATTGGTCAATTTACCATCTTATCTGACCTGTGTTGTACAAAATATCGGAAGGTTTGGGCTAGGAAAACAATTAGCAAGCGAATGGGTGCGTTCAGGAATTTCCTGATCTAGGCTGCTTCGTTTATTTATTTCTTGTAATTTCTTTGTGCTTGCTTGGCCGACCGACCGACCGATCAGTCGACTACTTTGGCCTGAGAGAAGGTTACCGTGATGAAAAGCGAGTATGTAATGGCACTGTACCTGGGAATCAAACAATCTGTTTGCGTTTCTGACGTTATCTTGGTTGCCGTTCAAGCGATTGTTGGATCCTGGTGGAGCATGCAAGTACATGTCCGATATACAAAGCTCGATAAGAGTAGCCATGAGGCAGCCCCAAACAAAAATGGTCTTCATGACCTGTATGAAAGCCAAGATCAGTGTTAACGAGAATGCGGAAAAAAAAAGAAAAAAAATTGGTATACGTAAGTTTTAGCTCAGTATAGGTTGTCATAGTAGCATATTTTTTTCTTTGTCATGACATCTCAGCTATTTTTGTGGTACGTGCGATGCAAGCGTTGAGAAAAAGAACCGTTTGGGTGCGTGGCAACCTCGGTCAAAAGAAACAGAATAACATTTCTGTCAAAAGAATTTTACTCTTCTAAACTGATCGTGAATCATTTGGAACTCAGAAAATTTTTCGAACTCAAGCGATCACATGCCTTACTTTGAGGTTACTTTGAGTCATAGAAAGACTCATGAAAAGTATGTTAAATGATTACTAGTCATTACTAATTACACGATAATTGAATATCATGACATACCTCTTAGTTCTGTCTACCACTCGAAGCTGTTTCTTGTTCAGCAACCTTTAGAATTTAATAGCGCCGAAAACCTGTTGAGGGCTTTGAATAAAGTGGCTTAAAATGACCTTAGCTGTTCAGTACTAAATGGAAATTTGCAGCTAATGGCAGTTTAAAACAATTCACTTGTTGGATAGACGTCTGTGCGATTTGATAAGACAATGGATAAAAGAAACAAAGGCAAATTCAACTATATAACACAGAGGTGATCAAAATGTAATTATAAAATGAAAGAGTGGTTATTTGCCGCCGATATTTTTACAGCCTTCTTCTAATTTTATATTCAAGGTGATGCTCAAAAACCTCCTCTGTAGCTTGTCCAAGAAAACACAACTTTTCGGCACGTTCATTTTTCAGTAATTACACTGCTATTCCCTTCACAAAGCAGAAAATTTTTTCCGCATTCAACACCCGTCTATAGATATTATATGTGAGACACAGCTAGAGGTTACATAACCACAAAGCTTAACAATAGCCATTGCGGAAAATGTCAAGGCTAAACGCATAAACAAGAATTGTTTCTATATGATAATCAGCCATAACCTGCGGTGTTGGTTATAAATAGTTTTTACTGAAGTAGAGAATAAATATATTTGTAGCATGCAATCAAATTGAATTATGTTTTATGGAGTATCCTTTTCAATCTGGTCAGTGAGCTTAAACAATTACAGAAAATTTAAGCTTCTCACTCGTTCCCTTTGATTTTCCTTTTTCTTGTAATTGCTGTGAAGTATCCTGCTTACATTTTGAGATTGGCAAGATAATTTTTCTCCTGTGGCAACAGTCTCTATTCTGCGAATCGGGAGGTATGATATTTAATTGAGTAACTAAAGGTTTTATGGAGCTCATCATACAGTCTGGTAGCTGTTTATTTGGTCATGAAAATCAAAACTATGATTTTATAAGTGACTTTCATTTGCACATAAAACCGCCTTTTTCGGTAAAAGATCGGCTGATTTAAAGTGCACAGCCGGAGGGATGTATGTATGGTATGTAAAGAATAGAAGTATTCCGCATTCCGCGATAGTGACTAAAGTGAGGGGTTATACAGAACCTCTTAAATCTTGTTGTACTGACCAAAATCTGTTTGTTCGTGTCTAATGGATAACTCGAAAAACTCTCGTAACATATGGTGTTTTATATTTGTGACATCAAAAGATGTGCATTTCCGCGATTCCTTTTCTTGCTGTACTGACACATTTAAAATTAGAATAGCCGTGTGCTGCGTCACAGGAACCTTGATTTATAGTTAATAGAAAACATTATATGCATTTTCTTCGTTCTTTCCACGTGGTGTCTTTGTAAGGTAATGAAGAATAACTAAATGAAGATTTCAAATAACGAGGTGGCTCAAATCTTTTTTGCACTAAGATAACATGAAGCAATAGGTGCACAATCTTCAGGACCACTTGACTCCCACACCAAAGCTACTTGCCCTCGATATAGCTTCAAAATTCTCGACAAACGGCCCAATTCACCAATTTCTTTCAAAATAAAAAAGATCAACCATGCAATTCTGGACTGTTTCGCATAATTTTGAAAATATATGGAGTGTTCTCTTTATTGAATATTTTTTCTTAAGTTTAAGTCACGTCCTCACCGATATGACGTCTGAGGTTGTTTTCATTTTGAACGTAGTCATTTCCATTCTGATTTCTAACTCGGCGCTATCACAGATGAAACAAAAGGCAGGTTAATGAATTATCTTTGAACGTAGGGAAGCTATAAATAACATTTGCTTTTGATAAAAAGTGTACGGCCGCAATCGCTAAACAATGTTTTAGTTTAATGAACATTCGCGGTTGTACGTGCCGATTCTCACAGCGGTTGCCCCATCAGCCCTTCTGTTCTTTTCTTGTATTCCAAACTTCAAAATACTGATAAAACGTATCAGCCTGTTCAACTACCTCGAGAGGCAGGCTCGCACAAGCCTCTGGTTTAAGAGATTGGCATCCCTTATTTACCCAGCACAAGTTTGTTCTGTCTGATCCTGAAAAGATACAAAAATTTCTTTAAGATGAAATGTCCAGGCACTGACAGAGAGAATCATTTTATTTCATTGCCAATCCAAAGAGTTTAGTTTAAGAGAATGGATGTTCTGATATTTCATTAGCGGGTTTCAATAAACTTATGAGGAGCGACGAGGTCAATGAACCTTGCATTTTGTTCTTTTGTTCTTTTGGGAGAGGACGCGGCATCTTTTTACTACGGACTTGTCAATTTGTTTCTGCTGTGACGAGCCCTAGGAATTAAGAATGCAAAGTAAATGATAGAAATTACCGTCGTGGTTTTCACCACGAGAAATCTTTCGCGAGTAAATCTTCTATAGATATATAATTAAAAGTGTTTTTTCGTTCAATCTCTGACGCTTAACGACCTTCCTTTGTTTTGCTCGCCTTTTTCCTGATCAATTAATGCTGCGCTTCCAAATGGGGCATTTCTTTGTTAATTGATCACATCGGAATTTTGTTGTCGTGCATATTTTCTATGGCTCTTTTTCCTTTTCTTTCCTTCTTCTCTCGATCTCAATGCAAAGCTTTTGACTGAAATACCATTAAACTGGTGAAAAATGAACTGTTTGCCGTGCCCGATCTTTCTTGTTAACTATGCATGAGCTGGTACAAAAGTGAATTTAACATCCTAACAATCTGTGTAGCCGTAACAGATATTGTACCATGGCTATCCTGCCTGTCCGTCTCCTTTTACTCATATTGCACGCTACTCAAGTCTAGCTAAATAGCTCAGAAAGAAAACAGCTGCTACGCGAGCGACGCCATATCTGGTCGATGCATTCCATCTATTGACCGAGTTTAACGAGTGTTTTGCCAAAGTTCAAGTGCAGCAAGTGGTTTTAAGTAATTGGGAATGTTAGCATATTTTATTTAATTTATTACAATGAATTTGCAACAGGTAATTGGCGTTATTTTGGGCATGGTAACAAATATGTTTTAAGCACATTCTCAATCTTGGCTCTTCGGCCACTAGACGAACAGGGTAAGCAAGATCTCTGGAGTTTGCCGTTTGTTCCGAGAAATTTAGCCAATCAATGTTCATCGATCTAAATATTATCCTGGTTTGAATTTGTGCTATTTTCATTGCGATAAAACTTATGTAATTTCAACGAATCGTTTTTACGATGCAGAATGTAATTCGAGATAACTGGTTGTGGTTTTTATCAGGGACGGCTCCAAAGAAGCCATTATTTTTAATCA